GAGCTAATACAGTATATTCTGGTAATGTGCTTCTCAGCTTTATCAAGTATTTAATAAACAAGTAAAGGAAAAAAACAACCCATCAACATGTTACCTTTGGTAGAAAAAAAATTAAAACACAAAAGAGCAACACATACTTCATCAGTCATTGCTCAGTAAAAACAGTGATTGTCCAGTATTATAGTAATTCTTAAAATTTTTTTTCTTTTTTATACTAGCAGTGGGGTCTCACCATATTGCCCAGACTGATCTGGAGCTCCTGGGCTCAAGCGATCCCCCCACCTCAGCCTCCCAAAGTGCTAGGATTACAGGTGTGAGCCACTGTGCTTGGCTGTTGTTATTGAAATCTTTATTTCTGCCTTCAATTCTGACAGTGTTTGCTGTTTGTATTTTTGGACTTTTTGTTTCACCCAACTTTTATGCTAAAAGTAGAGTTAGACTAAATCATAATTGATCATTGAAGTCCATTAAAAGTGGGTCAAACTGTATATGTGTTACACTACTTAAAATCTTGTTTATCATTGTATATCACTTTTTAAATAGAATGTAATTTATTTTGTGGCTGAGTGCAGTGGCTCATGCCTGTAATCCTAGCACTTCGGGAGACTGAGGCGGGCGGATTGCCTAAACTCAGGAGTTCAAGACAACCCTGGGCAACATGGTGAAACCCTGTCTCTACTAAAGTAAAAAAAATTAGTTGAGTGTAGTGATGCCCACCTGCAGTCCCAGCTACTGGGGAGGTATAAAACATGAGAATCACTTGAGCCTGGGGGGCAGAGGTTGCAGTGAGCTGAGATTGCGCCACTGCACTCCAGCCTGGGCGACAGAACAAGAGTCTGTCTCCAAAAAAAAAAAAAAAAAAAGGTAATTTATTTTGTGCTTTGATTTTGATAAGAAATTTACTTATACAGAAAGCACTATATATTTGTTTTAAAGAGATGGTGTCTTACTATATTAGCCAGGTTGGTCTCAAATCCCTGGCCTCAAGTAATCCTCCCTCCTTGGCCCTGCAAAGTGCTGAGATTACAGGCATGAGCCATTGTCCCCAGCACCCAAAAAAGCACCGTTTGGTCAAATCATGTTTTAACATAGACTCAATGCTTCCCTGCCCCTGAACAGGGGCCACAGAGTTCTAGTCTGGCTTCTGTGTCATGTTTAGCGGATGTGGTCCAGACAGAATCATCAATGGTCAGAGTCAGGGCTCAACCTGGAGCTCAGTGGTATAGCTGGGAGTAGAATTCAAGCATAACACTATTGAGAGGCTAATTGTGGGCACTAGGGAGGGGAGAGGAAGCAAGTGTTCTAAGTGCAACAGACTATATATGTCCCTGTGCCTGAAAGAACTGGGCCTAGCCAGGTTCTGGCCCCCAAGGTTTGTAAGGTTTAGAAGGTGGCCAGTATCTCTTGTGATGTGTCAGGCACAGAGATAAATGTGCAAGGAACTATGTGCCTCTTCTGGCCCCTGTAGGGTGGTCTCTGGCTGGGTGATAGGGAAGGCAACTAGGTAAATATTGTGGGAGTCAGTGAAGGTGGGTAGTTTACCTCCTTGTATTGGATGTGGTTTCTTTCACCCATGATGGGACATGTGGGGCTGAGACCTCAATTTCCCCTTCAACTGGGAGCCCTCCAAGCTCCAGATCATCTCCTCCTAGAAATTTTTCCTAATAACCACTCATCCTATTTTCCCACTCACATGAAAGAGGCTCTGCCCAGAGCACCACCTGTTTTCCCACTACCCCCTTCACTGCCCAGAGTGAAGCAACATCGAATGACCCTCTCCCCAGCAGAGTGATCTTAAGCTTTCACTTCTTAGGGGCATTTCATAGAGGTAGCAGAAAACCAAAATACCATTTTGACCTTCAAAAACAATACTTTACACCTCACTGAAAGTGCTTGTTTGCTGAATTGAAGACTTTAAGGAATGAAATTATAATGGCAGAATTTCAACTGAAATTCTGTACAGACATGTGACCCCAGGTGAGGCCGCTATGTTTGGAGAATAGCGGCAGACCTCCAGCCACCCAGACTTTGGCCCAACTCATGCTTTCTTTTCTAGAAGAAGTGCCATCCTCCCATCTCCCTGCTGCTTCCCTCTTGAAGCTGTGCTACACACCCAGTCTCAGTGAGACCGGTTGTCTGCCTTTCCCCAATCCCCACCAAATCCACTTTCCGTCCCCTCCCACCCCTGATCTTGCTCAGGATTATGTAATAGGAAGTTCTCAACTAGACTCCCTGGGGAGGGAAAAGGGCCCTGAGTGGGAAAACAGCACAAGAATACAGAGCACAAGAGGCACAACCTCTTCCTGTTTTCTAGACTGAGGGCTACCCAGAACGGGGCCAGCCTCCTCTTCTGTTTTCTCCCATACCTCCCCCCAACGCTGGAGCCACCCAACCCAGGGCTTGCCACATAAGGCCAAGTGTTCTATCCTTCCCTCAAGCTGCTAGAAAAATCCTTGGGCAGGACTAGCCTTAAGATAAAAAGCAGACTGTCTCCTTGGGAGCTGGGGTGTGTCTGGAGAGGGTAGGGTGTCAGCAGAAGCCCCACGGAGTTGAACAATGGCAGGAAAGAAAACCACACAGTTGCCACTGCATTTTTCTTCAAGGCTGACTCTGCACAGACCTTTCCTGGAAGGGATGGTTGTATAGCTGTTCCAGAATAGAAGGTAGTATTTCTTCAAATGCTTTCCAAAATATGATGGTGTGTGTGTGTTTCCCTCACAGAAGCAGAGACAGAGGAGCAAGAAGGAGCCAGATCATAGGGGCCTTGAACACCAAAGCTTTGATTTTTTTCTAAATGACATGAATGAATTTTACAAAGATTTCCTTGGCTGCTGTGTGGATTGGATTGCAGGGTCCAAGAGCGGAAAGAGTTAGGAGGCCACTATAGTGGTTCGGGCTCAAATTGATTAGATCTGATGTGGGATAGTGGCCAGGGGACAAAGAGGTCAACACTGGCCCTTACTCAGAGAGAGGAGAAGGGACCAGAGTACATGGTATGGGGGGTCAGAGAAGAATACTGCTCTGGAGCTAGATCCAGGGTCAGATCTGGGGAAACAAGGATGAAAACTCTCCCAGAAAAGTCATAGCTTGGGCTCATGGAGCAGGCTTGGGTGGGGCTCAACCCATTCATATGGTGTTCGAAGGGAAACACTCTCAGGAACAGAGGGTCTCAGGAACAGAGGCTCACAGAATGGGAGCCTAGGCTCCAGTCCCAGGCTTCCTATAATGGCCACTCAGTTTGTCCCTATTACTCCCGAAGAAGGGAGTTCCCCATTTATGCATATCACAGCCACCACCCACAAGCCCAGGGGTAGAATGAAGGCTAATGAGGAATTCTGGCTATGACAAGGTTGCTGGAAGCTCCACAGAGAAGGGTCAGCACCCACCTGGCCCTGCCCCTGCCCAGATACAGATGTACAGAGAGAAACTTGGAATGTGCAGGGACAGGGGACTGGACAAGGCTGGCAACAGCCAGTGTTCCTGTCACCCTGGGGAATTAGGGATAGAGGTGGGTGGCAGCCCAATTCTTTTTCCTTTCCCTAGCTCCAAGAAAGACCCTCGTGAATCCTGACATTTCAGCACGCCCTCCCAATTTCTTGAATCCTTTTTGAGAGTCGGTGGGGAAAGGGGAAACACTTCTTGGCCTAGAATCGGGCCTACTGGGCGGCAGCTTCAGAGATGCACATTTCAGCTAGCTCCCATCCTTGGAGGTATACAGCCTGGCATGGGCCATGCTATTGAAAGGGGGCGAGTTCTGCCTCTGAGATTCTAGATCCCGGGAAATAGGACACCAAGGTTCTAGTGCTGCTGCGGTTACTCATTTTCCATGATCTCAGGCCAATATCCTCCTCTCTCAGAGCTTCTGTTTGTTCATCTGTGCTTTTGTGATTAATGGGGTCAATGGCAGAAGCCAGACTAGAAACCAGATCCCAAGCCAAGGGACAGTTTGTTGGAATTTGGCCAGACAGGCTGTGCAGTCTGGCTTTTTCCCCCATGCAGGCCGTCAGACACTCTTCCCTGCCTTCAATGCCTTTCTAAAAAGTATTCCTCCTCCAGGGAAGCCTCACAGATTATCTTCTTCCTCCCCATGTCATACACTGCTTGGTCCAGGGCTGTCCAATAATACTTGTTGCAACTATGGAAATGATGTGTAATTTGCACTGTCCATTACATTAGCTACTAGTCACATACGGCTGTTGAACATTTGAAGTGTGGCTAATATGCCTAAAGAACTGAATTTTAATTAACTTCAGAAGTAAATTTAAGAAGCCATATGTGGCTACTGACTACTATATTGGACAACACAGGTTCTAGCCACAGTTTTTCTCTCTTGTTCCTTGTTTATAGGAGTTACCATTTATTGAGCACTTACTCTTTGCCAGTTTTTGCATAAGTGCTTTATACACTTCAGTGAATCCTAGAAATTCCATTTTAAAGATGAAGAAGCCAAGGTTAGGTAAAACTTGTTTCAGGTTGCATAGAAAGCTGGAGAACCGTTCAAATGTGGGTCATGTTCTCCAGCCATTAAAGCAACTTTCCAGGGCCCAACATGGGGTTCTTCTTCTACACTTACTCTACAGCACATGGCTGGACACCAGGCCTGAGGAGGCTTATCAGTGAGTATCAGTTGGTAGATGGTAGATGCTTGATGAAAAGGAGAGAAACTAACTCTACTCCCATGCAAGTCCAAAATCCAGCTTTCACTTTCCATCTCCCAGGGGCCTAGGAATCCTGGCTGCTGACAGCCCACCTTTAGGTATCTCTTTTTGCCTTTCTCCTGGACTACAGTGTTCTTTGGTCACAAACTGAGAGCTCAACTGGGTGCTATGTGCAGAGGGTTGGGGAGGGGGTTTCACAGGCAGACCCAGAGAAAGCCATCCAGGCTGAGAGCTGGGTTCTAGAAGGATCGTTGTTTTTAATTGAGAAAACAAGAAATAGTGTTATAATAACTACCTTTTATTGAGCACCTACTTTGTGCCAGGCACTTTACATACATTTATGCTTATAATTCTTACAACAACCTGGGGAGGTAGGCATTATTATCACCATTGTACATATGAGAAAACAGAGGCTCAGCAAGGTTAAGCAGCTTGTTCAAGTTAACAGAGCTGATAGATGAGTCATAGAATCGGCACTTGAATTGTGCATCTGTGAGGGGCCCCAAAGCTTTCATCAGGCATTTTTCACACTAAGAAAATAAAGAAGGTAGAGGAGTTGTGTATTAGTCCACGTTCACACTGCTGATAAAGCCATACCCGAGACTGGGTAATTTATAAAGAAAAAGAGGTTTAATGAACTCACAATTCCACATGGCTGGGGAGGCCTCACAATCATGGTGGAAGGCTAAAGGCACATCTATACGGCAGCAGGCAAGAGAGAATGAGAGCCAAACAAAAGGGGAAACCCCTTATAAAGCCATCAGATCTCATGAGACTTATTCACTACCACCAGGACAGAAAACTGCCCCCATGATTTAATTATCTCCCACAAGGTCCCTCCCACAATTATGGGAGCTACAGTTTAAGGTGAGATATGGGTGGGGGTACAGCCAAACCATATCATTCTCTCCTTGTACCCTCCCAAATCTCATGTCCTCTCATTTAAAACTCAATCATGCCTTCCCAACAGTCCCCCAAAGTCTTTTTTTTTTTTTAATTTTTTGTTTAAAAATTTTTAAAATTAGCCAGCAGCTTCCAAGGGCAGACCAAAGTCTTAACTCATTTCGAACTTAACTCAAAGTCCACAGTCCAAAGTCTCATCTGAGACAAGGCAAGTCCCTTCTGCTTGTGAGCCTGTAAAATCAAAGGCAAGTTAGTTACTTCATAGGTACAATGGAGGTACAGGCATTGGATAAATACACCCAATCCAAGGGGAGAAGTTGGCCAAAACAAAGGAGAAATGCCCCGTGAAAGTCCGAAATCCAGCAGGGCAGTTAAATCTTAAAGCTCCAAAATGATCTCCTTTGACTCCATGTCTTACATCCAGGTCACACTGATGCAGGAGGTGGGTTCCCACGGTCTTGGGCAGATCCACCCCTGTGGCATTACAGGGTATAGCCTACCTCTTGGCTGGTTTCACAGGCCGGTGTTGAGTGTTTGTGGCTTTTCCAGGTGCATGGTGCAAGCTGTCAGTGGATATATCATTCTAGGGTCTGGAGGACAGTGGCCCTCTTCTCACAGCTCCACTAGGCAGTGCCTCAGTGGGGACTCTGTGTGGGGGGCTTCAACCCCATATTTCCCTTCCAGAGTGCCCTAGGAGAGGTTCTCCATGAGGGCCCCACCCCTGTAACAAACTTCTGCCTGGACATCTGTGAATTTCCATACATCCTCTGAAATCTAGGCAGAGGTTCCCAAAACTCAGTTTTTGACTTCTGTGCACCTGCAGGCTCAACACCATGTGGAAGCTGCCAAGCCTTGGGGCTTGCACCCTCTGAAGCCATGGCCCAAGCTGTACCTTGGGCCCTTTTAGCCATGGCTAGAGTGGCTGGATGCAGGGTACCAAGTCCTGGACTGCACACAGCATGGAGACCCTGGGCTTGGCCCACAAAACCATTTTTTTCTCCTAGGCCTCCAGGCCTGTGATGGCAGGGGCTGCTGCAAACATCTCTAATATGCCTTGGAGACATTTTCCCCATGTCTTGGTGATTAACATTTGGCTCCTTGTTACTAATGCAAATTTCTGCAGCAGTCTTGAATTTCTCCTCAGAAAATGGATTTTTCTTTTCTATCTCACTGTCAGGCTGCAGATTTTCCAAGCTTTTATGCTCTGTTTCCTTTTGAAAACTGAATGCTTTTAACAGCACCCAAGTCACTTCTTGAATGCTTTGTTGCTTAGAAATTTCTTCTGCCAGATACCCTAAATCATCTCCCTCAAGTTCAAAGTCCCACAAATCTCTAGGGCTAGGGCAAAATGCAGCCAGTCTCTTTGCTAAAATATAGCAAGAATTCTGTTTGCTCCAGTACCCAACAAGTTCCTCATCTCCATCTGAGACCGCCTCAGCCTGGATTTCATTGTCCATATCATTATCAGCATTTTAACATTTAACAAAGCCATTTAACAAGTCTCTGGGAAGTTCCAAATGTTCCCACATTTTCCTGTCTTCCGATCCCTCCAAACTGTTCCAACCTCTGCCTGTTACCCAGTTCCAAAGTTTATTCCACATTTTTGGTTATTTACAGCAGCACCCCACTCTATTGGTACCAAATTTACTGTATTAGTTCATTTTCACACTGCTGATAAAGACATAACCAAGACTGGGTAATTTATAAGGAAAAAGAGGTTTAATGAACTCACAGGTCCACTTGGCTGGGGAGACCTCACAATCATGGTGGAAAGGCACATCTTACATGGTGGCAGGCAAGAGAGAATGAGAGCCAAGTGAAAGGGGAAACCCTTTGTAAGATCATCAGATCTCATGAGACCTATTCACTACCACCAGAACAGTATGGTGGAAACTGCCCCCATGATTCAATTATCTCCCACCAGGTCCTTCCCATAACATATGACAATTATGGGAGCTACAATTCAAGATGAGTTTTAGGTGGTGACACAGCCAAACCATATCAGGTGGCAAAAGGATACATTCTCTAGGGGGTGGGGGATTGGTTCTGCTACCGGAGCTGTTGATGGAAGCTGAAGTCCACCCTGTTTCCCACCTACCAGCTCTGGCATGCCACTTTTCTCCAGACTGAGCTGCAAAATCAGAAAAGACTCACTCTGCTGAGGTTGCTCGTCTCAGAAAGAGAAAATAGCTGGCACGGTGGCTCATGCCTGTAATCTGAGCACTTTGGGAGGCTGAGGCAGGTAGATCATGAGGTCAAGAGATCAAGACCATCCTGGCCAATATGGTGAAATCCTATCTCTACTAAAATACAAAAATTAGCTGGGCATGGTGGCACGCGCCTGTAGCTCCAGCTACTCAGGAGGCTGAGGCAGGAGAATGGCTTGAACCTGGGAGGTGGAGGTTGCAGTGAGCCAAGATCACGCCACTGCACTCCAGTCTGGTGCTTGGCATCAGAGCAAGACTCTTGTCTCAAAACAAACAAACAGCCAGGCATAGTGATGTGTGCCTGTAATTCCAGCTATTTGGGAAGCTGAGGCAGGAGAAGCACTTGAATCTGGGAGGCAGAGGTTGCAGCAAGCCAAGATTGTACCATTGCACTCCAGCCTGGGTGACAGAGCAAGACTCCATCTCAAAAAAANAAAAAAAAAAAAAAAAAAAAAAAAAAAAAAAGAAAGAAAGAGAAAATGGCTGACATGAAAGACCTTCCCCTGTCTGTTTGTTGGTAGTTGTCAGTGTGTGCATGTGCCTTGTGTTCAGAAGTAGCACAGATCACCAGAATAAGAACATCACTCCCTTCTAGGCCACACCCCAGGCACATGTGCAGGGAGTGAGGCAGCTGAGGAATCTTGAAAGGACTATTTATTTCCTACTACAGTCCCAGGGAAACCACCTGGGAGGAGGCTGGCTCAGCGATCAGAACCTCAGATTTGCTCCATGTCTCCTTCCTCCAGATTAACCAGCCTCAGAGAGGTTGTGTTCATTTCATAGATCAGGGACCCATGATGTGACTTTCTCTCTCTCTCTCTCTCTCTCTCTCACACACACACACACACACACACGCCCACACACACACACACACACACACACACACAAGTTAAGGCACCTGCATGGCTCTGCAAGTCTGTTCCATCAGGCACATCTGGCCCAGGGCTGAGCCTATGTATGTACACAAAGGGATTAATGCAGTGTCAGGAGTCTCTTCACAAATAGGGAACATGATGATGGCTCTGTGCTAAGCCCAGTCCTCCTGTTCCCTGGGAGGGGACCTCTTGCCTCCTTGTCAGTTAGCCAAACACCTTCTCTCCAGCTGGGCTGGGACCAAATCAGCCACAGTTCAGGTGAATGCTGGGAACTAAGGGCTTGGCTTCCAACACTAAGAAAGCATACTTTCTGAGTGTGGTGAGGGCTATTTGGGGACCTTAAATAAGATCAAGTCCCCACCTCAGATGGACAAAGATGGCCACCAAGGCCAGGATGGAGAGGTTTCTCTTTGTGCTTTTAAACCCCAACCATGTGTAACAGGAAGAGAGCTGACCTTTTTCCTCTAAGCTCTCTGGCTCCCACCCCAGGGAATGGGTTTCTGCAGACTGGTGTGAGTGTGCGAGAGCAGGAAGGGCACAGTCAGGATTGTGGGTTGGAGCAGGAGATTGCTTCAGTGCCCCCTCCCCAGACCCCACCTTCAGCAGCTGGTTCCATCACATTTAGGTCGGCAGCCACTTAATGGGTGGTATAGAGGTGGAGGTTCCTGGGAGTTCACGGTGCAGGTGTGAGGGAGGGTTCGAGGTCTGCAGGAAGGCTGGGGGCTGTGTGGTTCCCGGGCCCTGGTCTGGGTCAGGACGCCCAGGTAAAGTAGGCGACCTCGTCCAGGTCGACCGGGTAATCGGTGAGAAGCACCGGCGTCTTGTCAAAAAGCTCGCCCTTGTAGCTGCGCCACTTGCCTGCGGGCAAATAGACATCGCGCTCCTGCTTGCCGGGCTCCAGCACCGGCGCCACAAGCAGCGTGTCCCCAATAAGGAACTGCGAGTCGATGCGATGAGCTGTCTCGTCACCGGGCGCGATCCACCAAAGGGGGCGGACGATGGGGTCACCCGTGTCAGTGACCTCGCCCGCCAGCTCAAGCAGCAGCGGCGCCACAAGCGAGGCCCGTAGGGCTGCGAACTTCTGCGCGATGGCCACCACTTCCGCGTCGTAGCGCCAGGGAGGGATAGAGAACTGCATGGCGGGCATGAAGGCTGCCACTTCCAGCCAGCGAATGTAGAGCTCGCGCTCGGGCACGTTGCCGCCGGCTGTGCGCTCGGGCACGGCGTTGCCGCCCACCATATCGGGTAGGATGAATGGGTAGCCCAGCATGCTGACGGTGAGCACCGCCGGGATGAGCGATCGCAGCCCCAGGTCATAGCCCCACACCGAGTCGCGATCCACCAGGCGGAAGAAGCAGGAGATGTTCTGTGACTGGTAGCCTACGCGCACCTCCGCCAACGAGAAGAAGGGCAGCGCCATCTCAGTGTAGCGCCGGCTCCAGACGCTGGGGTCCGGCAGCTGCCGGTAGGTGCTGAAGTCCCGCGGCAGGTAGCTGACCTCGCCCGCGTCGAACTTGAAGGAAACCACGGAGTAGCGAGAGCGCAGCCGCCGCAGGTGTCCCTGGAACCAGTCGCGGGCTTTCGGGTTCGTGAAATCCAGCACTGCGCCGATGCCATTCCACCAGCGCACCAGCGCGGGCAGCCGGCCTGTGGGTTCGCGCACGAACAGCTCGCGCTCCACACCCTCGCCAAAGCGCGACGAGTTGTAGTTGACAAACGGGTGCACCCAGAGCGTGACGCGGAAGCCGGCGTCGCGCAGGCGGCGGAACATGTTGCTGGCATTGGGGAATTTGACCTCATCAAAGTCGAAGTCGCCATAAGCGGGTGTGTACATGTCGTCGATTTCTAGGTGGCTGCTGTTGAAGCGGTGCTGGCGAATTTGTTGTGCAAAATGCAGCACCTTCTCCTGGTCCACGGCGCGCCCATACAGCGCCCACGTGGACCAAATGGGGTCTCGGAAGGCCTCGGGCGCTGGCACCCTCGAAGGCTTGTTGAAGTAGCGGCGCACCATGTACTTGTGGATGGAGGTGACGTCCGAGCCCACGCACACTCGGTAACTCAGCTCCGGCGCTGCGGCGAGGCCGGCGGCCGGCTTGTAGGGCGTGTCGTGGTAGCGTGCCTGCAGCCGCAGCGAACTCTCCGTGCCGTTCCAGCCCAGGTGGAAGGGCACTGAGTCGTTGACTTTGATGGCGGCTGCGCGCGAAGATAGCCAGTAGCGCTCAAGGATGCCCCCAAACGCGGCGTCGGAGGAGTAGACATCGCTGGTGACGAAGGGCTGGGGCTCCTGCTGGCCTTCCAGGCGGATGGGCCAGTGTTGCGTCCTCATCTCGGCGCCACCATACCAGTGCGCCGCCGCGTCGCCCAGGAACATGGCGTGTTCGACCGCCCTGCCCTGCACCGCCTCCTCCCACCGCACGCGGTAACACATGACAGTGTCCTTGGGCCGCACAGTCTGGATGAAGAAGTTCAGAGGCCGCCCGTCGGCCGTGAGCGAGCAGCCCAGCAGGGCGCCATCGCGGCTGCAGGAATCGAGGTCCAGCGCACCGGAGCGGAAGGCCAGGCGGAAGACCTGCTCTCCCTTCTGGTTGCGGATGGAGAAGCCGCCAGCGTTGAGGTCCAGCAGCTCGGCGCGAAGTCGCTCCGCCTTGCATAGGGAGACGCTGTAGTAACACCAGGCCACCACGGCGGCCAGCACCAGCAGCAGCCCCAGGACAGCGGAGCCCAATAGCGGCTTCAGCTCTTTGGAAGGCTTGGGCTTGGCAGGCGAGAAGTTGTCGGGCAGGAAGGTGTACATAGCTGCGGCTGCGACGGCCTCCGAATTCTGACGGTCTGCGTAGCCGCCAGGCCGGCGGTGGCGGGGGTAGGCCTGGCTCTTCTCCTGAGGGTTCTGGAGCATTAGTGGTCTGCTAAGAAAGGAGCGGGCCGTGCGGCCATCTGACCGAGCTCATCTCAACCTGCTCAGAAAGGAGGAGAGAGAGATGGAACTGAGCTTTTTCATCCCATGTTATTTCCATTTGCTGCCTCAAGCTAAGAAGAGGTGTATATTTTGGGAAGGTGAATACTGAAACCTGAAGGCTTGACAAGTGGCAAAGGTGAGACTCTTACCAGGCCAATCTGTGTCTAAGCCACCCTTTCTCATGGTTCCTAATGCTTGCCCAAATTAGGACTCTGTGACTGGGGGGCGCGGCATGTGCTGGGAGATGGCAGGCATCCTCATTTTCCTAGTGGAGAAACAAACCTTGAGAGAGTCAGGAAAGTTTCCAGGATCACAGGATAAACCAGGCCTCCCCGTATCACACATGGCGGCGTTTGGGCTGAAGAGACGGGGACGGAACTGGAAAAGTCCTGCTCTCCTAGAGGTGTGGATGGCCAGGGTGAGGGAGAGGAGATGGTTCAGCCAGCCCCTTGAGACTTTCTTTCTTTCTCTCTCTTTCTCTCCCTTCCTTCCTTCCTTCCTTTCTTTTCTTTTCTGTCTTTCCCTTTCTTTCTTTCGCTTTCTTTCTCTCCTTCCTTCCTTCCTTCTCTCTCTCTCTTTCTTTCTTCTCTTTCTTTCTTTTCATATGGCGTCTCCCTCTGTCACCCAGACTGGAGTGCAGTGCTGTGATATTAGCTGACTGCAACCTCTGCCTCCTGGGTTCAAATGATTCTCCTGCCTCAACCTCCCAAGTAGCTGGATTAAAGGCACACACCACCACACCCAGCTAATATTTTTATTTTTGGTAGAGACGGGGTTTCACCATGTTGGTCAGGTTGGTCTCAAACTCATGACCTCAAGTGATCCACCCACCTCGGCCTCCAGATGTGCTGGGACTACAGGCGTGAGTCACCGTGGCTGACGCCCCTAGAGGTTTTTTTTTTTTTCTTAAGTTGGAGTTTTGCTCTTGTTGCCTAGACTGGAGTGCAGTGGCACGATCTCGGCTCAATGAAACCTCCGCCTCCCGGACTCAAGTGATTTTCCTGCCTCAGCCTCGTGAGTAACTAGGATTACAGGCATGTGCTACCACGCCTGGCTTTTTCTTTTGTATTTTTAGTAGAGACGAGGTTTCTTCATGTTGGTCAGGCTGGTCTCGAACTCCCGACCTCAGGTGATCCGCCTGCCTCAGCCTCCCAAAGTGCTGGGATTATAGGCATGAGCCACCACACCTGGCCTCCTTGATACTTTTAACAGGGTGGTAGGCTAGCTTCCCTGTCCCCAGAGGGTGAGAGGAGGGAGGAAGGGAGAACAGCTCAGGAATAGGTTTTTATCTTGAGTCAAAAGCCAAATGAAATCTGGAGATTAAAGAAGACACCCAAAGCCAGACTCAGCCCCAGGGCCTGGTTTGGAGGGAGGTAGGACTGGGATATTAGGGTCTGGGGCAGGAGCCTGGCATGGGAGGCCAGTTGTTTCTCACGTCTGCTTCTCTTTGCCCTCAAGCTCACCCAGCTCTCAGCCCTCCATCACCAAGTCCATTTCCCTGCTCAGTTTCCTGCTCTGCTCCTGGCACCACATCTGTGGGCCAGCTACTTCCTAGCTCTGTTTCTACCATTCACCCACTGTCCTGTTTCTGTCATAGTTTGGGTGCTGTCACTTCTCCCCAGTATTACTATATTATTATTCCCCCAATAGGACTCTCTGCTTCTAAATTCTTTTTTATCAGTGGCTTCTGATCTCGGCAACCATAGTGATTTTTCTAAAGCACTTATCAAACCATGTCTATTCCTAGCTTCAAGAGCTGCTCATTACTCCCATGATGAATTTTTTTTTTTTTTTTTTGAGATGGAGTCTTGCTCTGTAGCCCAGGCTAGAGTGCAGTGGCGAGATCTCAGCTCACTGAAACCTCTGCCTCCAGGGTCCCAGTTCAAGCAATTTTCCTACCTCAGCCTCCCAAGTCTCTGGATTACACCATGCCTAGCTAATTTTTATATTTTTTAGTAGAGATGGGGTTTCACCATGTTGGCCAGTCTGGTCTTGAACTCCTGACCTCGTGATCCACCCACCTCAGCCTCCCAAACTGCTGGGATTACAGGTGTAAGCCACTGTGCCTGGCCCATGATGAAATTTAAAAGTGTTTGCTTTGCATTAGAGGCTTGAGGCATGATATGTTTTCAGCTACCATTCTGACTCCATTTCCAGCCAGGCCTATCTTGTGACTATCAAGCTCGTTTCTTCCCCAGCCTAAATCCTTTAGGCTACCTGCTTCAAGAGATTTCACTCACCTAGCTCAGACTAACACACCTCCTCCACCTACCTGCTCTCCAGGGATCAGACACCCATCACTACCCCTAACATACATAAACTCTGACAGACTATATGCTAAACATCCAGATATGAGGCCATGCATGGTGCTCACTCCTGTAATCCTAGCACTTTGGGAGGCCAAGGAGGGTGGATCGCTTGAGCTCAGGAGTTTGAGACCAGTCTAGGCAACATGTCGAAACCCTGTCTCTACCAAAAAAACAAAAAAAAAAAAAAAAAAAAAAAAAGGAAAAGGAAAAGAAAAAAACATTAGCCAGGTATGGTTGCCCGCACCTGTAGTCCCAGCTACTTGGCTTGGTGGGGAGGGGCTGAGATGGGAAGGTCACTTGAGCCCAGGAGGTTGAGGTTGCAGTGAGCCGAGATTGTGCAACTTCACTCTAGCCTGGGTGACAGAGTAAGACCCTATCTCAAAAATAAATAAATAAATAAATAAAATTAAAAAATAAATAAAATAAAATAAAGTCCAGATATGACTGCAGGGAAACACAGGCTCAAGGGAAGAAGTGTGTCCCAGTCTGCAATTCAAGGCCACTGACTGTACCTGTCCAAGGCTTTAGATCAGAGTCCAACAAAGAAATAGCACCAGCCAGGTGCACACACAGGCATACACACAGCCTGCCAGCAGTTGCCCAACTGCTCCAGCCCGGGGGAAGAACAGGAGACTGGCAAACAGTAATTAACCTCCTCCCAGATGCCAGTGTCTGTCTCTAAGTCCCCAGGGACTTCCAAGGAGGTGCCGGAACTACTCAGATTTTTCACCTCCCCTATGCAGAGACTCTGAAGAATGCAAGGTGTGGAGCAGAATTTGATCCTAAATGTCAATACACAGCTCCTCCCAGAGGCACGCCCCACAAGGTGCTAGCTCAGGGCCTCATTCTCAGTTCCCTCTGCCCCGCGTTGCTTCAGTTTGGCAGCCCTAGCTGATATTTAACAGACTCTTATTCCCTTCCGATCAGCCTACAATGACTTCGATTTCCTCCCTATTCCTATATAGATACACCTCCTTTCCTCCTGGAAAATGCAGCCAGTGGCCTTTAGCTGATGCCCTCAAGCTGAGCAGAACCCAAAGAAGGCCTTAGGTGGCTCAGATCACACTTGTGAGTTTATATTCATTCATTCAACACAACCAAAGCCACATTCTGGGCACCAAGGAAATAAGGAGAGAGAGGGTCAGTATCTGAAGAGAGAGACTCCTTCATCCTCAAAACTTTCATATGAAGTCAGCCTATCTCATGAGCCCTGGAGGCATGAAGAGGCCACCAAAGTGGGTTCAAAAGCCCTTTCCAACAGCTAGGTTCTGCGAATCTTAATTTTCCAGGATCTGAGGTTTTTTAATGAAAGACAGAAGCCCACAGGCCTGGGCACCCACCTACCTCAGACACCATGATAGTCTCCCAAATGCCACCACAGCATCCAATTCTATCAACAGTGTGATATAGCAGACATAGCTACAGTGTCCATTTTACAGATGAGGAAATGTGGCCTAAACAGAAAAAGGAACTTGTCTGAAGTCTGCCAGGTAGCAAGGCTGCCTGGATCTAAAATCCCAGCTCAGCTCCCCACAGCACAAGTTTTAAGAGGAGATGGGAGGTAATGGTCTGACCTGGCTGCCTGAATGCAGTAGCAGAAAGGAGCCCTGTGGCTGAGCTGGTGGAACTGGCTTCCATCAGATGGACATGGCATGGTGAGGCCTGTCTTTTCAAGGGCTGGTGCTGCTGCTTGCTCCATGCCGACATCAGGGCCTCTTAGAGGCAGCAAAGAGGGCAGTTTTAATGGCATCTAGTACCCGGGCTTTGGGGGAGGAACTCTGTGGTTCTGGTGTTAACAGTGGCACCAGAGACCTCTGTAATCTGCCACCTCCGCCATCTAGTCAACCCAAGGCTAGTGCTAGCAGGTGGAGTTTGCAGGGCGGCTCTCCCTGGGCTCTTCTCCTGCTGAGCCTCTCCCCACTGGACACTCAACCTCAGTCTTGGCTGCCACAGCTAGTTTGGTCTGAGGGGGAGGGCCCCGCCCTGATCAACTGAGGGGAGGCCATTCCTAGTAGAATCGTTAGTTGGACACCGTTCCCAGTGGGGGATGGAAATGTCAAAGGCAACTCGATCCGGCTCATCTCCCTCTCCTCCTCGGAGATCCGCGGGATCGAGTGACTGCCTACACAGCCTGGAATACTATACGCCCCCCCCTCAGCACCCCGCCCGAAGGCTGTACTGTCCGAAGGGACCGGCCGAGGTCAAGGGACCTGTCGCCTGGAGGGAATCGCCGCCGTGGGATGGGCCCAGGTGTCCAGGCGCGCTCCACCCATTCATCGGTGGGAACCACAGTTCAGAAATCGTGCTCCCTCAGTAGCTCCCCGTCCCCCACGGCCCTCCCACTGGGCTCACCCACTGCAGCTACAGCCCGGCAGAAGTAGGGGGTGAAGGAGCTTCCCGCCGATCCCCTCCGCTTGAGCCAGAGTGGAGCTGCCACCGCGCCGCGCGGGGTGCTGCCTGGCAGGACACAGCTGGCCCCGCCCTGGGGCTTCTCGGTCACGCCCCTGTCATCCAGTCTCGCCTCGAGCCTCAGAGTCCAGCCCAGCCCCTGGCGTTCGACCTCTCCTCCCAGGTTATCACGCGGACCTGAGGCCCTGCCCGTCAGCCCCACCTTCCTCTCACTGCTCTGTGCTCTGCCCCTGGCGTTTCAGGCTTGCTCAGTCCCGCGCCCCCCTGTTCCGCCTCCCGCCGGTCGGCCAGCGCCAGCTGGGCTACTGATTACCCGCAAGCGGGCGGGGCTCAGCCCCAGGCCTGCTGGGACATGTAGTTCCACAGAAAGGAGCCGCTGCGGAAAGTTGGGGTTCTTGTGCCCCTAGGCTAGGTTTGGAATGAGGATGAGAGGGAGAGAGCCTCAGGGTAAAGGAGCAGGGCTGGCCTTTGGAATTCCTTCCTTCCCACTTTGGTCAAGGTATACCGATATAACGTTATACCGTCTTATGGGTGTAACGCTCTCACAAGCCCTCAGTTTCCCCATATGGAAAAGGGGTGGCGGAATTGTGGGAGTATCTCAGCTCCCAATGCAGGGTGCTTCCAATCAAGAGCCTCACGAAGGAAGCTATAGTTCCAACCAGCCGGAAATCCAAGTTGTCGGTTCCCACTGGACCAAACCAGAGGTGTCTGAGGTCAGAGACTGAGAAGACCGGTTTCTGCTTGGTGTTTTACAACGTAACCCGTCTCCCTGACCGCCACCCCCAGACTAGTTATTTATAGGGTCCAGTCCCTCCTCCTAGTTACAGCCTTTAGTTAGAAATGCCCAAGCTGCGGGAAAGTGGGCGTGCCCCGCCATGCCCCCGTCTCCGGGGAGTTTGAAATGAAACTTTGAGGTTTCATTTCTATTTTATTTATATATTTATTTATTTTTGAGTTTCCCTCTTGTTGCCTAGGCTGGAGTACAATGGCGCGATGTAGGCTCACTACAACCTCTGCTTCCCAGGTTCAAGCAATTCTCCTGCCTCAACTTTCCAAGTAGCTGGGATTACAGGCATGCGCCAACATGCCCGGCTAATTTTGTATTTTTAGTAGAGATGGGGTTTCACCATGTTGGTCAGGCTGTTCTCAAACTCCTGACCTCAGGTGATCCACTGCCTCGGTCTCCCAAAGTGCTGGGATTACAAGCGTGAGCCACCCACGCCTGGTCTTATCTTTTTTGAGAGAGGGTCTCTCTCTGTTGCCCAGGCTGGAGTGCAGTGGTGTGAACATGACTCACTGCAGCCTAGATCTCCTTGATTCAAGCTATCCTCCCACCTCGGCCTCCTGGGTAACTGGGACCACATGCCTGTGCCACCATGCCCTGCTAATTTTTTTTTTTTTTTTTTTTTTT